ACAGATTCTTGATAATGACGTTTCTAGGGTCAAATAGCTCACAAGGCCTTGCTCGTCCTTTCTGTCTGGAAACGAAAGCCAAGTCTTGCAAATTCCTCTTGAAACAAGCATTCTTGCGAAAAGCACTTGCATAACGATCCAACACATGCTCCATCAGCTTGTCAATTTGCTCTTCCGAGTAGCATCCTCGCTTGATGTCTGGAAATACAACCTGACATAGCAGTTCGACGGGCGTTAGAATCTTAACTCCAAGGAGACGTGCCAACGCCATTGAATCGTCTTGAGAAACATCAACGAGGTCTCCTCTCAGTGTAATTGGAAGAGGCTCAGGGGGTGCAGCACGCAGACCTTCCTTTGCTGACACGAATTTCTTCGCCAAAGTCTCAAAAACTGGTAGAGAGCACAGAACATCATACTCCTCTTGATACAACTGCTTGCATTTGATATTGACTAAGAATGATCTCAGGAGTTGTTTTTCCTTAGTAGAAAGTACTATACGTACAATTTCGAAAAGTTTTCCGTTAGTCATCATACTTGAGGAAACCACCATTGCTTTCAAAACACCTTGAACGGATGGTGGATGTACAAACCTTCCTAAAACAGCTGGGTGGTGGCCAATAAACGAGGGATAGTCGGTCATGATAAGCACACCAAGCTTGACGAGAATATCTGATACATCATCGTCTAGGTAATGACCATAAAAGTGCTTGACTACTACTCTGGAAGGTTCACAAAGTCGCGCCATGGTGACTGGTGTCTTTGACATGTTTAGCGGAAGCAGCGGTAGTTTACCGAGACTAAGAATATCGCCTGCATCGGCAAAACAGTTTTGCAGATATATCCACACGACCCTGATCCACCCTTTGGGTGGATGACTATGGTTTCGATCTTCAGGGTACCACAGGACGGTGTTCCCCTCGCTCCACTCGAACGGCAGTGCTCGTGGAAGTAATGATTTCACATCGTCTTTACGGAGTATCCTCAGCTGTGTGGATCCTGAAAGAAAGTTAGATGTCTAAAATTGACTACTTCCTTTGTGAAAACCAACAAAAAGGAATTGGGCACACGACAAAAAAAATCAAGGAGGGCAATAAAACAGGCTAAACATCAGACGCGCAACACTCAAATGTTTAATAGCTGAATTTTGTCTGACAAGGGTGGTTAGTAGAGATTTTTAGTTCGGAAATCATGCCAAGGGAATCGATAGTCTTACATCAAGAACTATCAAATGAGAAAGTAATGTTACCTTGCTTTCCTGCGGATTCAAGCCTCTGAGTGATTGCCTCGCCGATCGTTTCATCCAAAAAACGATGTTCTAGCCCTGGGAAAAGTTCTCGGGGATGTTCCCTAGAGCAGATATACACGGGTTCCGATTGGTTGTTGAATTTGATGAAGTTCCCATCGGAAATTGGCAAAAGCTCCAAATCACAGAGCGAGTCAAATTTGCCATCTTTAAGACAAAAATTAAGGAGCAAAAGTTTTTCGTGCCTATTAAGTTTCTTGTAAAATGACGGAATTTTCTTCATGGTCGATCTCACGAGGCTGGGTTTGATTTCCTTGACACAGGTATAGTTAGTAATAGCCTTGATGACGTGTTTTGGTACAGTGACAACGGGCACGTTAGCTGACAGCAACACTCGAAGAACTACTTCCCTGGTTTCATTTTGATCAAGTAGATCAAAAATCGCTTCTTCCACTGTAATCCAGCGTCGAGAATCTGCATCGGTGGAAACAACATTGTGCTGTAAAAGTATACTAAAAAGAGGATTGATGAGCTTCGTCCACTTCTGGTCAATGCAGGTAATATTTGGCCACGCCCTGCAAGACAACAACCAAGATATCTTGATCACATTGAATTTCAAAACAGCAAGATTGTTGCTGTAAAACATATCAAACTTGAATTTCTTCGTAATTAACTTTAACGACATGGGTTTTTCATAATGAAGGTAACCCGTGACTGTTGATTTCAAATCTGAGATCAGAAAAAAGCTATTTAGATTACCGAGTGTTTGTAATAAAAAAGATAATGAAGTATTAATAAGCTCTGAGAATCTTTCATAGACAAGAATTCATTATGCACGCATGTATGTGTACCTTGTTATTGGTTATGACTTTCTGGTTACACTTAGCTAAAGAAAGCTCAGTGGTGAGTGAATTGATAGATATTACCACTTACTTGTAAATTGATGTTCTTGGTAGAAAACACGAGACCCATTTTGTAGCTTGCAAAATTAGGGTGGCATATGCCCTTGGTGTGGCTTCCTCCAGGAGACACTTATTCCACAACAGTGACTTGTCAGTCAGTTGCCGCCAACCCATACTTTCTCGCTCTTCTTGATCTGCATTTGGAGACTTGATATATCGCCTATTTTGACTTAAAGCGAAGAACCCATTTATGTGCACTGGCAGACCTGTCAGGCTCCTCATCGGAACTGGTAATGGCAGGAAACAGAACACGTGGCCTTTGATA